AGAGTCACATGAATGTCATTTGCAACTTTCCCAGGGGTTTTCCAACAAGCAAAGTCAATGGGGGAAGCTGGATTCTGCTTAATGACTGCATGATTCACTTAATGACCTTGGTGATTCACTTAATGACCACAGCAAAAAAAGATTGTAAAATCGGGTGTAACTCATTTAACCATGACATAACCATGAAATTCCAGTCCCAATTGTGGTCATAAATTGAGGACTACCTGTATGTCAAGGTCTCCTAAATCGAAGTTTCATTGTCCTACTAGTGGGTGGTTGGAAATGAAAAGTTGGAGAAATAGAGGAACCTAGAATCCTTCCCCCAGACAGCAAAGTTGAATAGTCAGCAGACCAGCAGTCAGATGGGAAAGCATCAGGCCAAGATGAAATGCCCACTGAACTGTTTAAAGATGCAGGAGAAGAGGCATTTAAAGTTCTAACAGCTTTATGTCAACAAATGTGGAACAAGGCTACAGGGCTTCAAAATCAGGAAAGAGTGGTGTATATTAAAGAGGGAAGATGCAAAAGAACATGCAGATTACCAAACCATTGTATTAATTCCTGAAGCAAGCAAAGTCATGCTTAAAATCTTACAAAGAGAAACAGCCAGGAGGAAGAAAAAAATGTGAAATCAACAAACAGCTGTTATAAAAAGCAAAGACTCAAAATCAGGTAGCTAAGATAAGATGGATAATGGAAAGAGCAAAAGACGACAAGGAGAAGATTTCTTTTCCTTCATTGATTCAGTGAGGTATTTGATTGCATAGATCATGCTAGAATGTGAAACATATTAAGGTTCATGGGTGTGGCAAAACACCTGATCTTGAGGAATCTTTACTATGAACAAGAAGTTACTATATGTCTTGAATTTGGAGAAACAAAAAGGTTCAGAATAGAAGAAAAATAAGATGCATATCAGAAGGCATTCAGATGAATCAAGATGCATATCTAATTAACTTGTACAACAACTATAAGAATGTAGGATTTCATTCAGGGGCATCCACATGGAGAGTTTAAAAAGTCAAGGCAGCAAGCAAAATTGTGTAATCAAAGGCCCACCACTTTTTAATGTTTATTGCACACATAAAAAGGGCAGAGCTTTGATTGTACAGTTGTGGCCATCATCTTGACTTTTTAACCTCCCCCCCCCCCAATGTCCCTTATTTGATTGAAAGTAATGGCATCTGCAATGGATGTCAAAATCCGCAAGATGGCAGGTACAGTGTCACAACCAAAGCCCTACTCCTTTTGTACACATGATGAAGACAATGGGATCCAGGAGATCACCGGAATGTCCTCAGGAGACTTACAGATTATCAGCAGGGGCAGATTGAAATGGCCAACACTGATCCATACAATCAGCAGTCATGCACAAGTCAATGAACCCTAATTAATTAATTATCTGGTGACTACTTCTATGGATTTTGCTTCAGGAAGTGCTTGCAATTTTACGAGCGTTAACAGTGTTATGGCCAAAACCTGGCTCACCTAAAGCAACCAAATCACCCTGAAGATACAACATAATTTTATTAGCATGCAAACAATAAAACAGTATATACTGGATCCCCAGCAAAGCTTTGATACTTTGCTGAGCGGCTCTGAGCAAAAGCAGAACCAGAGCTTATATATATTTGACCCACTACATTGCAAAGGGAAGACAAAGAAAAAGGCAGACACAGTGGAAATTACAGCATGACATCAGAATGCTCTTGATAAACCCATCTGGGCGACCTTATTATTATTGATCCCTCCCTGCTAGGTCAGCATGCTAGTCGTACTATCTCTGAGATATGGCCAGTGACTAGAAACCATTTGGTTTACTGGGCCGCAGGCTCCTGGCTGATTCTTCCCCGTCGCCACTCAGGGCTAATTCAGCTTGCTGTGAATGTTTTCTTACAAGGGCACATTAAGCATTTCATAGGGGGCGGAGGGGATCTCATAGGTTTAGTAGTAAATGCAGCTCAAAAGTGTATGGTGGGGTACGTTTTACCATCCCAACAGGAAAAGGTGGGACTGATTATGGTAATAGGGGTACTCCATAAAGTCACTCAGATACATCCTTCAACTTAGGAAGTTCCTTGTCTGAGTTTTTATTATGAGGAGACTTCTCCAGCAGCTCTGTAAGGATGGATTGGAGCTTCTCTTTCCAACTTTAGGACATCTTTCTCAACAAAAGTGGAATATATGGAAGCATTATAACTGAAGTTAGTAAAATGAATGGAAAAGGATAGGTCTATCTATTTTCAGTGGCCATGACATCAGTATGAAAACTCTATAAGATAGAAACTGTGTTCCTGCATCATGCTCAGTCACAATATGATTTGCTTGTTTTAGTATGAAATGCCAATTGTATTTTATTTAATTGATTGTGTAAAGGAGGCAATGCTAAATATGATATAGGTTGTAGTCTGTCACATCAGAAACTTCTCTTTCATCCCTGTCTCTCTCCCACTCTCCTTTTCTCACTCATCCACTCAATGCTCTACTTGTTCAATGCAAGCTGCATTAGTTGCCAGTTTGCTTTTGGGTCCAATTCAAGGTGCTGGTTTTGACCTTTAAAGCCCTATATGGCATGGGGCCAGGTTGAGGGACCACCTCTTACCAATTACATCTGCTCATCCATCAGGTTCAGCAGAAGAGGCATATTGCAAGTCCTGTCTGCTAAGGACTTACATCTGGCAAAACCCAGGAGACAGGGTTTTTCTGCTGTGGCACCTGTCCTGTGGAACATCCCCCGCCCCAAGGTAAGACTGGCCCCATCCTTGATGTCCTTCCAGAAGTCTCTCAAAACTTGGCTGTGTCAACAGGCTTAGGGGTCTCAAGGAAGTGGTGATTGAATGAGGTGGTTACATTAACATCTAATGCTCTCTCCTAGTCTTTTAATAATAGCCTTTTAATAATAACATTACTGTTTTTTTAATTGTGGAGTGTTTTTAATATTGATACTTTATGGCTTGTTATTGTACACCACCCAGAGTCATGTCTTGTGAGATAGGCAGCCCTATCTATCTATCTATCTATCTATCTATCTATCAATCTAGCGATCTTTCAAATTTGGTCACTGCCCATCTCATTAGGAAGTAACTCTGGGTGGTTTATCATATAAGTATGATAATTAAATATCTGCCTTTAGGGCCCCTATAACTTTATTCCATTTTATTTATATGATTTATTCGGTGACCCAACTTGCACAGAAGCAATTCTGGGTGGTTTGCATATGGTAAAAAAAATTAAACAAAAGGCCTGTAACAAAACATAAAAATTCTGCCGCCTAACATAACTGAGGCAATTAGAACATATTCCAATTCAAAATCATTCCAAGAAAGGCTCATCCAAAGTTCTGACCCAATGCTTGAAGGAACAACCAAGTTTCCAAGGCCTTATAAAAGGCTGTCAGCCTTGCAATGTAGACCAGACAGGAAACAAGGCCAGATGAACTAATTCTACTTTATTGTAAGGTTACATTAACAGAATCTTGCAAGTCTGAAAATACATTTCCCCCCCGTCGCCTTTACAGCCCAAGAAACTAGGGAGAGTCCCTTCTGCCCATTTGCCATGCCCACATTCCTTCTGCATTCACCATTCCTTCATTCCACTTGTGGCGAAGACCTTGGTCAAGCCATGCATCAGAGCCATCAGGCACCTCGGGAACCCACTCAGATACAGACACTGTAGATGGAAGGGATCAAATAAAATAACAAAAAATTAAGTAAAGCCATCGTGCAAAAAGCAGAGGTTTAAGACTGCACACAAATTACTGGGTGAAGAGGCAGAGATGCAGGGTTTTAACTCAGTTGACAAGCTCAGGTTCTGATTCTTCTTCTCACCATAGCAAAATTATCTAAAAATAGTAGGCATGCATTTCTATACATGTGCGTAACTTCCGCTTGACGCAATGAAAATTCCTCAATGGAGGTCTACAATATCACACAGCAATAATGATCTGGGCAATAAGGCAACTTCCACAAAGGCCAGCAGGCAGCCCTGTAATTCAAGTTCTCTTCAGGATATGTTGGCCTAAGGACTGCAGCAGGCAGTGCTTTGTGGTGAAGGCTCAGAAATAAATCTAAGCCAGAGGGTAGCTGCGACTGCATCCTTATCTGGTATCAACAATGTGCCTCTGAGGATAGGCAAAGTCTTCATTTCTCCCATCCAACCTCTACTTGAAGACCTGCAGCAAAAGAGAACTCACTACTACATTTCGCAGCCTGTTCCACCGGCTGTCTATCCTGAACTTCCTTCCCAGTAGTTTTAACCTACTAGTCAACAAGGTCAAAATGGTGGCTGCAACCCGGCAATTCAGGCCTTGCCCCCTTTTAAAGTGTGTTGCACACATTGCACACATTGCACACATGAAAAATAGGTGCAGCTTCAATCTCTCAATTGCATCCACCAGTTTGATGCTGCTCCCCCCCTCCCAGCGGACATTCCCATACTGATCTTTTCTGAGAGGAACAACCATTAGAACTGTCCTCTACACACTGAAATCCCTCTGACCCACCAAACTCTTCTGAAATTTCACAGCCATCACCTCTACATTTCCAAACTGATTCTTGCAGCCTTAAGAACTAGAAACAAACTTACTGACAGTGAGAGAAAAGAGAAGGAGCTCAGAAAAAGGACATTGGGAACTGAGTTCAAAGCGAGATTAAATCTTGCCCAATGTGATTGGACAAGCATAGAAAGGTTTTTGGCTGAATATACAGAGCCATCACTGTTGAAGAAACAACGCAAACCATGGATGCTCTTGCCCTTAGAAGTATTTATACCCAAGCCAGCAGGTGTACTAAACCAACCACTCTCCAAGCGGCAGAAACCCACCACGAGAAGACCAGTATGGATTCCTATTTCTGCCCAGGCCCTGCTCCTGTTTCCTCCCCTGCTCAGGAGTGAAGGCCTGGGCGGGGGGGGTTCCTCCGCCAGCCCCGGCAGCCCTGGCCTCCCCATTGCTGGCACGTGACCGGAAACCCAGCAGCTTCTGATCTCTCCCCAGCTGCTGCATTAGCAGCCCCAGGCTGAAATGGGTGCAGCACCTTTTCCCTCCGGCTATGGGGTGCCTGAACTCTGCTTCTTCCATTCCCTCCTTGCCTTCTGGTGTGGTAAGTGCCGAGAAAGGGGCCCAGACCCCTTCCATCAGCACAGCCCAGTTTTCTTCCAGATTTCACTGTCCTCCACTGACCTCATTCCGTCATAGTGTCCGGGGCTCCCCTTTAGCATCCCCAGATGACTTTTCGATATCTTTCTCTCCTTCTTCTTCAGCATTTGTGGGCAGTGGCTCTGCCGTGACAGTGACCCAGACTCCACCATTTGTCAAACGCTTGCCAGGGAGAAATGTTTCTTTCAGCTGTTCTATTGATAACTCAGACTATAATTTCTACTGGTATCGCCAAGTGCCTGGAAACACAGAGCTAGAAGTCCTTGGGGCCTTGTACACTTATAGTACAAACCTTGAAGATAGCCCAGAGAAGTGGACAAAGCGGCTGAAAGCAAACTGGGAAGCAGGAAAGAAGAAAATGGCTTTGGATCTGACAGGTCTTCAGCCTACTGACACAGGCTTCTATCTCTGTGCTGCAAGTTACACAGTGAATGAGGGAGGAACTGGGACTGGTACAAAACTGAGTATCAGAATAAACCTCCCCTGCTTTTCCTAACATCTTCTGATGTCATCTCCATGCAACTGTCATTCATTCAAATTCCTGAGGCCACCCTGCAAACCTCACCTATATCTGCCATCCCTAACCGTAGGCCCAGCGGATGTGCAATACTGTAACTTCCAGTCTGGCTAGGGATGATGGTAGTTGTGCTCCAAGGCATTCAGTAGGCATCTGGTTGGGATGGGTCCAACACCCTGAGGACACCCCAGACTGCTTAATTCAACCTCATCTGCACTGTGCCAGCATTGGCCCAGGCCTCTCCCTTTCCAAAATTGTGCTATAAGAACTCCGTGGTAAGAGATACGCCCTCAATTCCCACATTACTCCAAGCCAAGATGGACAGTAGTTTTCTTGCTTTGCCTTAGTGTATGGTGAATTCAGCCACTGTGGGTCTTATACTTTAGCATATTAATTATGATTTATTCAATAAGCCATCATTAAACACACCAAGATGTATGCTCTGTGCCAATGGCATCACCCAGTGTCCTTTCCGGGAGAGCCCTATTTCATTCTTTAACATAATGCTGAACCTCTGCAGGTGGGCAAAGACTTTATATCTTCCATGGAAGAAACTTAGATTCCACCTACATAGGTCTGGCATTTCAGCTATGGAGGTTTTCTTTTAAGTATGTGCCCGAGCTTTGCATGAGCAAAACCTGTATAAGTGTGAGTGTATATAAAGAAGCACGTTGGCATTTTTGGTTCTCTCTTGCATTTTCTGCCATAATGCAACCTGATGGACGCAGCATCTCATCCTTCAAGCTCCAACCAGATAAGGCTCACTGTATCCCCTCAAGCAGAGAGACTCACCCTGAGTCACCCAGAAGAACTCTCTGGCTGAGGAT